TCTTTGTCATAAATGCTAAGTCTTTAGGGTTAGAAGACTATTTTCTTGACTACTTTGTGAATCGGGGATACAGCTGGGCATGATAATAGTTGGGCGAAGAGCTCTGGACTTTGAACTTATGGAAACTGTGTTCTCCTACTGATTACCAGTAAGGGCTCAGGCAAACCATTTATTCTTTCCTTTCTTCAATTTCCTTATCTGAGCCTGAACTACATCTCCAAAGGATATCTTCAGGTCAAAAATTCTTTGATGGTCATTTTTTCATTGAGAATTTTGCAAATAGTTTCTTTCTCTTACTGTGGCTAATGAGAAACGTTCAGATATTATACTGTTTATTCTTATGTTTCCATTATATTGAGAGGCTATGAAAATATAATTATGGGAAGCTGAAAGAGTCCAGAGAAATAGCCTGATATACCAGCACGGTACAGGAGAATCAGAGTTGTCTTAAGTTTTCAGAATTAAGTGTGTAGAGTGGAGCCTTGATTAAGGATTATCTAACGTGGACAGAAATTTCCTTTTCAATAACTCCACCAAAAACTTCCTTTTGTGGAGTTTTTGTGCCAGGGCTGTCATCAGGCATGGAAATAGGCAGGGAATCAAGGAATTGCTGGAGAAGATGTTTCTTAATCAGCAAAGGTCAGTTCTTTGCCTTTGATTATGGTGTATGTCTTAGGCTGGGTTCTCTAGAGAAGCAGAACCAGTAAAGTGTATAAATATATATAGAGAGAAAGATTATATCAAGGAAACAACTCACGCAATTGTAGAGGCTAGAACATCCCAAGTCTGTGGATCAGGGTAGAGGCCTCTCCCAAGTCACACAGCCGCAGAAGCTGGCAAGCCCAAGATCGGCAGGTCAGAGAGCAAGGCTCCTGCTCACAGGCTGTGCAGATCAACAAATCCTAGGTTCAGCAGGTAAGCTGACAGCTCAAGTCCCAAGAACGGGAGATGAGATGACAGGAAACAGCCGCAGGATCCAGAGGGAGCAAAAAGCCAGAACGTCTGCTTATATACAGATGCAGGCCACACCCTCAAGGAGACTCCTTTTCATCTGATTGGCTACTCATAGTATATTCAATCGTGGGAGTGATTACATTAAAACACTGAGAATCATGGCCCAGCCAAGTTGACACACAGTCTTAACCATCACAGTGTGCGTCTCTTGTGGTGAGTGTCTACTTCCCTCTCCTTTCCTGAAGCTTAGTAACTGGGGGCCAAAGGAGAGATAATAGAGGGAGAATTGTTGACAGTCTGAGTTGGAGTGGGAGGACACTGCCAAATCTGCATCTTTTTTGCGGGTATTTTAACTAACAAGATGTGGTAAGGTTTGCTTGGACTTAAGTTTCCATGATCTTGATCCCTTTCCAGTTCCTTTTCCTGGGTTCAAATCCAAATTCTGCCCCTTACTATGTGTTTTTGGGCAGGTCTGTGCCTTAGTTTCCTCATCTGTTAAGTCTGCTCCCTCACCTGCTTCTGCAGTCATCCTTCTAACTCCTTTCCTGTTATGAAATCATGATCTGTGCTCCCAGCAAAGGCCAGACTGCCTCCTTGTGTATTGTTCAAGGACGTTACTCTAGCAATTTTGCTGTCTGTCTTCTGCATCATCGAATTTTCTCTTTCAACTGGATATTTCCCATCAGCATAAAAATCTTTTTTCCTTCTTAAGAAATTCTCTTCTGACACCATGTCTCCCCTAGCTACTACCCTATTTCTCTCTTTCCCTTTCAGCAAAACACCTCAGAGGAATTGAATGTATTTGCCACCTTCAATTTCTTTTCTCCTATTGTTTCTTGAACCACTCAGGCATTTGCCCTCATCACTGTGCTAAAACTGCTCTTATGAAGTCATTACTGTCCTTGACCATTTTCAGATCTCATTCTACTTGACATGTCATCAGCATTTGGCACAGGTGATTGTTCCCTTCTCCTTGAAACATTTTCTTCACTAGACTTCCAGGGCACCACGTGCTTCTGGTTTTCGTCCTACTTCACTGACCATCCTTTGTCAGTTCCTCCTCATTTCCTTGAACTGTTAATGTTAAAGTGCTCTAAGGCTCAGTCCTTGAACCTTTATTTTCTCTTTCTATACTCACTCCCTTGGGATCGTATCCACTCTTGAACTTTAGTATCAACTGTATGCTAATGATTTCCAAATTTATAACTCCAGATTACATACTGGATAGTTGCCTTTCTATACATCCACACTTACATGTCTAGTAGGCACCTCATATTTAACTTCTGTAAAACTGAGCTTCTGATCTTACCTCCCAAATGTCTCATATCTTGTCTCATATCCATTTATGGCAATTCCTTTTCTTCTAGTTTCTCAAGAGCAAAAACCTTAAATCAGCCTTGACTACTTTCTTTATCTCATACTCCACATCCAAACAGTCAGCAAATATTATTGAAAATATAAAAATATATCTAGAATCTGACCACTTTGTACCATCCCTGTCACCATCAGCTCTCCCTGGATTATTATAGTAGCTTCTTAATTGATCTTCCTGTTTTCTTATGTCCCAGAGTCCATTCTTAACCCAATCGCCAGAGTGATTCTTCTAAAACATGTTAGATCGTCATTCCTCTGCCCAAAACCTTCCAGTGGCTTCACATCTTACTCAAAGTACAAGCCAGAATCTTTACAGTGGCCTCCTGGGCCTTACATGATTGGGCGTACATTATTCCTCTGGCCTCAGCTCCTACTGCTCTCATCTTGACCACTCTGCTGCAGGCACATTGGCCTCATTGTTGTTACTCTAACTGCATCAGCACCTTTCCAGTAGCTGCTCCTTCTCCCAAGAAAGTGCTTCTCATGTATTTACATGTCACCTCCTTAAGGCCTTTTCTCAAGTGTCACCTTCCAAAAGAAGCATTTTCTGATCACCCTATTTCTCTTTACCCTTTCCATCCTTCTTCCCTACTTTATTTTTCTTCATAGCACCTATTTCCGTTTAACATACTATATATTTTACTTATTTATTTTGTTTGCCTCCTCTGACTCTACTGTAAACTCTACTAAGGCAGATTTTTTTTTCCCCACTACTCCATTGCCTAGAACAGAGCTTGGCAGGTAGTATCTATTAGTAAGTAGGTGAATAAATGAGTGAATAGTAGCTACCTAATAGGATTCTTATGTAGATTAAACAAGTTAAACATAAATAAATTCTTAGAGCATGGAGTGACACATAAAAAGTACTCTATAAATGATAGCTTTTATTATCACTGTTATGGATTGAATTGTGTCCCCAAAAATGTGTGTCAATTTGGCTAGGCTATGATTCCCAGTATTGTGTGATTGCCCACCGTTTTGTCGTCTGATGTGATTTTCCTATGTGTTGTAAATCTTAGACCTCTATGGTGTTAATGAGATGGGATTAGTGGCAGTTACGTTAATGAGGCAGGACTCAATCTGCAAGATTAGTTTGTGTCTTAAATCAGCCTTCTTTGAGATATAAAAGAGAGAAGCGAGCAGAGAGACATGGGGATGTCATACCACCAAGAAACAAGAGCTAGGAGAATAGTGTGTCCTTTGGACCCAGGGTCCCTGTGTTAAGAAGCTTCTCGACTGGGAAGATTGATGACAAGGACCTTCCCCCAGAACCGACAGAGAGAGAAAAGCGAGAGAGCCTTCCCCTGGAGCTGGCACCCTGAATTCGGACTTCTAGCTTCCTAGACTGTGAGAGAATAAATTTCTCTTCGTTAAAGCCATCCACTTGTGGTATTTCTGTTAATATACAGTACTAGATAGCTAAGACAGCCACCTTCATGGCATGTCAACCTGGACAGTCCTGCAGCCCATGGAAATGAGGATTTAACTGAGGTGTCTTGGTATGTCATCTGCCATCAGCTTCGATTGAAAATGCTACTACAGAAGAACTACACTCCGTAGGGTTTTAATGGCTGCGATCATACAGAAGTAGATCACCAGGCCTTTCTTCTGCAGTGTTACTGGGTGGATTTGAGCTGCCAATCCTTCTGTTAGTAGCTGAACACAAACCATTTGCACTACTCAAGGACCTCTATTCTTCTTTACTTGCTCCAAATAAAGATTGCACTTTAGTGAGAAAGAAACTTAAGCACAAAGTATACAATTGGTTTTTCCTTTTAAAGAATGAATTTTACTTAAAGTTCCTGTTGTTGTTGGGTGCTGTCAAGTCAGTTCTGACTCATAGAGACCCTGTGTACAACAGAACGAAACACTACCTGATCCTGTGCCATCTTCACAATTGTTGTTGTCCTTGACCCATTGTTGCAGCCACTGTGTCCATCCATCTTGTTGAGAGTCTTCCTCTTTTTCACTGACCATCTGCTTTACCAAGCATGATGTCCTTCTCCAGGGACTGGTCCCTCCGGATAAGATGTCCAAAGAATGTGAGATAAAGTCTTGTCATCCTGGCTTCTAAGGAGCATTCTGGGTGTACTTCTTCTGAGATGGATTTGTTTGTTCTTTTGACAGTCCATGGTATATTCAATATTCTTCGCCAACACCATAATTCAAAGGCATCAATTCTTTGGTCTTCCTTATTCGTTGTCCAGCTTTCACGTGCATATGAGGCAACTGAAAAGGCCATGGCTTGCGGCAGGCACACCTTAGTCCTTGAAGTTCCTAGATCCATAAAAATAATATTTTCTGAATATTGCTCAAATATTTTATCCAGTGAAAAATAGTAACTTTTGAAAACATGAGACATCTCATTTTTGCATCTTTTTTTGTATATGTGTGTTGATGTTGGGGTGAGGGGTGGTAAAGGTTTATTTGCAGGTAGTAATATAACTGTCTGTAGCTATCATGGCCCAAGGTTAATGCTTGAAAAGTTTTATTTGACTAATCATTTTTGTTTCAGGAAGACTGCAGATCTAATGGATAGTTAAATAGGAGCACTATATTTTTGTAAATTATTAACATAGCATTTCTTTAAGAAATGCCTTACATTAGTAAGAGTGAGTGGAAATTGCCATTTCCTGTACTTCATTATTGAAGCCATTATTTTATTCCGGTAGGCTCACAGCTGGCAACCTGGAATAAAAAATCCATACCGTGGTGTTGTAGTATGGCCTGTTCCTGAAAACATTGAAATCACTGTGACACTTTTTAAGGTAAGTTCCATTTTTATAGATTATAAAATTTATTCTACAATCAATTCAAGGACATCAAGGTGTATTTCATGGTCTGTAAAGTCCAAATAACTTGGAGGTCCCTTTGAACTTGTTTAAATCAGCTGGGATACTTCTTTTACCATTTCCTACATTCTACCCACAGGAAACTTTAAGATCCTTTTCCTGTGAAAAGCTAAGTTTTATGGAGTTCTTATTAGTCCTGAGACTTATTTTGTTATCCTTGTTTGGCTGATAACAAGATATGTTTTAAAATTAATATTTGATAAATATTTTATTGACGTATTAACATATATGTTTTAAATTAATATTGGAAATTTTACTGATATTAAAATTTTATAAATACTGTAGCTTAAAAGTAAAATTCTGTTTGTAAATTCAAAGTGCAGATTAAAAACTATACTGGACATATACCTACCCATCTGTTTTTTTCTGGAATATCTTCCAGATTTTTGAAATATTGTAAAGTAGTCCTCACATATATAGTAGTTAGGCACTGGAATATTTACTTTCCTAACCAACTCCTTACCCTCTCCAAAGAAAAAAAAAAAAGGGTGAGGATAAATATGTCCAAGTTTTACCCTTTTAGAAGGCTGTAGCATTAGAAAACGCATGCATTATTTCTTCTTTGAATCATTCAAATTATGTTGAACTTGCTTATGCAGGACAGGAGAAAGAAGGATATCTCATTAAGCATAATTTAGATAGAGTGTGTGAAAATCCACTAAATATTTTAGGACATAAAATTAAAGTACAGCCAAGTAATATAGCTTAGAGTATGAGATCACTATGTAAAAAAATCTGCTTTTGATTTCATGATCTAATATATTAATTCATTTATTCAAGAAGTACTATAGGGAACAATAGGACAAAACAATACGATAAATGTTAATATACTAGCCCATAAAGTGATTTGTACCTTTAAATGCCCTGTTTCATAGATACTCTATTTTACAAAAGATTCTTAATGGCTTTTGTAGTTTTGTTATGAGTATTATTGACATTATAACATTACTTGATTATACTTATCCTATAAATACTGTACTTGATTTACCCAGCGAGAAATGGGGGTGAGACAGGGCCTGCTCTTCCTTTTTTTCAGGAGAGTCAGACCATTCTAGTACCTTTCTACCAGCTGGTGTAAAAGCCTGTTTTTAAACCTCTCTTACTCGTACTTCTTTTACTAAAATGATATCCTAAGCTTGGTAATTAAGAGCTTTGGAGTCAGATGAATCTTTACATGTATTATTTCATTTAATTCTCACAGCAACCCCAAGGTTCTACTATTATTCCCATTTTACTGATAGGAAACCCAGACTACAGAGGAAAGTCACTTGCCCAGTCACACTGTGGATTTAGCTCTGTTCTTTCCTCTATACCATACTGTCTATTCTGTAATAAAAACGATTATGACTGCAGATTACATTAGCAATGTCTCTGACATGTTTGAGGAAGACTTTTAAATAATCTGCCGAGTATTTTCATTTAGCATATTGTTCATATTTGTAAAGCAAATGAATGGACATAGTTATACAGCTTTTTAAAAAATGATGATAGAGAGCATGGGGTTGGACGAGAACTGATAAACAGCCGACAGCCATGTGTTTGGGGAAATGATATGTACTGACTGAGTGATTCTGAGTTGAAAGCAGCTGCTGAAAATGTGTTACTTGGAAGGATTAAGTGATAAGTGTAGTTTTCAAGTACTGATGAGAATGTTCAGAATATCCTTATCCTCAAATTTGTGTGACTTTGAATATTAGTCTGTAGAAGGTTTTGAAAAAAACCAAATGCCCCTTCCTCACAGTTTACTGTATTAAACATTTCTGAATTGTGCTATTGAGGCTGTTTTACCACTGTGTTCTAGCACCTAGAAGAGTATCTGGTGACCATTTTCAATATTTAAATGAGTATTTTCAGCCGATACTTTTATTTTCCTGACTCCCCAACTCCAAGGATTCTAATAGAAAAGTGAAAAACAAGAAACAAAAACCTTTTCATTCTTTCATGGTAATTTTGGGATCTTGTCTTTGAATAGCAATGAAAATATTCAAGTGAAAAACTTCTTCATATTTTCCCTTTCTTTTACTTGTTTTGAAGACCCACAATGCACTTAATCTGGACATCTGCAAACAGGAAAGGAAGGGACTATCCTGCACTGTTTTTGTCCTTAGAATAAAATTCATAAGAGTATGCATATAGAGAATGTGCTTTTTAAAAATATTACCAATATGTTTTCATTTTTTAATCATTTAACTGGAAATTTTTTTTTTTTTTTAGCCTGTACGATTGCGTTTGAAATTTGAACTATACTGAAAGTAGTTGTTTCTAGTAAGTTTTTAAAAATGCCTTTTTAGAGTTTTGAGAGGGAAAATGACTCTTTAAGCCATTTTCAAATTTTCTCTTTAGTGCAGTGGTAAGAAAGGAGACAATAGAGGGTGGAGGGTAGGATATAAAGAAGACTTAATTGATTGAAACTAAAAGCAATTTTCATTACAAATGTTTTTGTCTGGTCAACAATATAAATAGTTAATTGCATAGACATGCCATTTTTAAATGGTTTGAAAATGAACAGTGTTGCTGCTGCTTTTATATCTTTTTATTGGTTTTTGTCCTATCAGATATGTCCCTTGGTCCCATTGAAATTATTCTTTAGTAAAAATTCTTCTTTTAGGGATATTGCATTATCTGTGTTTTTCAAAAATTTTGCCCCGAGGGGCAATTCTGCTTTGTCCTGTAGGGTTGCTATGAGTCAAATTCAACTCAATGGCAATGAGTTTTGTTTTATTTTAAACAAACATTGAACAGTGCTTTATACATATACAACATACATAAAGCACATGGGACCTGAGACCCAGTAGGGAAGCACAGAGCCCCCCTCCATCTGAGTACGTTCGCTCTTAGAGTGAACTGTTGAGCCAAAGACCCCAAAAGCCTGCTCTATTAAATATTCTCTCGCTCTCAATCCTCCCCCTCCTGCCCCACCTCTAACACATATAGTAGAACTTGAATAAGTTAAATGCACTTATGATGCGACCACACTACTTTCTTCTTTGTGTCTTTTATTCTGTTTAACTTATTCTAATGTCTGTGGAAATCCTGCACACCTCCACCTAAGCCAGATGCTTTCTCTCTCATGAAGCTTCTTCTGTTCATTCTCGTAATAAGGGATATATCATTTTCTAATCTCTGGTAAAACCATGTATTTCAAGTATCATATATTAATTTAGATTAATTATTGTGTTCATCTTCAAAGACAAGGACAAGCATATATGAATCCATGTGACACCCTGCAATCACTTATATAATAAGTTCCTAATAAATATTTGTCAAATAAATGCCAAGGGATGAATTTCTACTTGTAAAACTGTGCCTTTTTTTTTTTTAAAGTTGCATGGCATTGTAGGATCCATCACTCTTTCTGAACATTTCGGTGGCGTTTCCAGGGTTAATAGTGGGTGTCAACAGCCCATGCTAATTTACCATTTTGTCTACATTATGAAGTCCTTTGCAGTGCTTTAAAATTTCAGATAGTTACATAACCTCTACACAGAAGAAAACTTTGCTTCAAGTGGTACTTTTAGTTTAAAATACTTACAGGTATAAAAACAAGGGCAGGGCTTTGTGTGAGCGTTCAGCATCCTAATAAAATGCTTCTTAATCGTTCATTCACTAACTCATCTGTCTCTGATCAGATTTCTTTTTGTCTTGTAATAAATGCAATGATGGAAGATAATGATAGGTATCAACATAAGTAGAACAGAGAATTTCTTAATATAAAATAATGATTTAAATTTATAGAAATTGTAGAAGTATAAAAGTTGGCCATTCAACCTCCCTCCTTTTAAGGGTTGGTAAAAGCTAAAAGCAAGGCTATTTATATTTTTTAAATCGATTAAAGCCATGTATTTCAATTTCATATTTTGCTTTGTTACAGGATCCTCATGCAGAGGAATTTGAAGACAAAGAGTGGACATTTGTCATAGAAAATGTAAGCTAATGGCAAATTCCTTCATATTTAACATTTGGACTATATACATTATTAAGGTGCATTAGCATTTTGGTAGTAGGAGAAATGTTGCCTTATGAAAATCAGGAAGTGATTTGTGGCTCTGAGATTTTTTCTAGTGAAATGGTAGTCAATAGCAGAATTGTTTTTAAGAAATGCTTTTATTAAAACTGTAAAAGTAAATATGCTGTCCAATACTGAATTATATACAGGTAGTCCCAGACTTACCACGGGGTTCCGTTCTGATGACTCCGTCGTAAGTTGGTTCTGACATAAGTCAAATACTTTGTTTTTTTTTAGTTTTCATTATTATTGCCTTTTGTTATCAGTATCTTTATAAATACAATCTTTATTTGTCTTTGGGGGTTGGAAACATTACAAATAAACGTACAGATGTATTTTAATACATACATATATACATAAAAAAATACACAAATCATAAAAATCTACTCCGACATTGAATAAGAGTTGGACGACATTGGCGTTTTGTCAGTTGCAGTGATACGTCTGCTTGTGGAAGGTTCTATATCATCTGGATTATCCCTGGGAATGGAGATGGTGTTTCTAGTCAGAAAATTGGTGAGAGTTGTCTGTATGGCCCCTTTCTTTTTTTCTTTATACGTTTCACAATAACATCTCACTGCTTCCCAAATCCGCCTGTCGGCTTTAGCAAAGTGTCAGCATTTGGGTCCGTGATTTCAAGCAACTGAAGCCCCTGATTTAGTTTAGAGAACTAAATCTATATGGCAATTAAAAAATTGAACATCTGTGAGTGAACATCTGAGAATGATAACATCAGCACATTACGTGCTGCAACACTGCATATAGTATATGTTACTAACCCTAAGATGTACAAAAAAGCAAAAACAAAAAACAGATGGTTGGTCCTAACTGTGGTTCATTATAACTCAAATATGTAGTAAGTTGAGGACTACCTGTGTGTTCTGTTTAGGGCTTGAAGGCAAGACCATGTTTTATTCATCTTGTAATCTGTTCTGCATCTACTATGGTGCTTCTCACATAACAGATGTTCATTTAAACATTTGTTAAATGGAACAGTGAATGGCTTTTGCAACCCCTAAATATAAAGCATATCCTTTAACTTTTTGTTTGGGTTGAGGCATCTAGAGTGGTGGTTTAATAACCATCTTAAGTTAATTTAGATATTGTGGAATCCCAAGTAACTAGTAGGCATATAGGAGGCCCTGGGCAGTGCAAACGGTTAACACATTTGGCTGCTAACTGTAAGGCTGGCAGTTCAAGTCCACCCAGAGGCATCTCAGAAGAAAGTCCTGGTTATCTACTTCTGACAAATCAGCCACTGAAAACCCTGTAGAGCACAGTTCTCCTCTGACATGCATGGGGTCTCCATGAGTCAGAATTGAATCCATGTCAACTGGTTTTTGGTAATAGGCATACAGTAGGTATCATGGATTGAATTGTGTCCCCCAGAAATATGTGTCAGCTGGCTGGGCCATGATTCTCAGTGGTTTGGCAGTTATGTGATGATGTAATCATTCCCCATGATGTGATCCAATGTGATCAGCCAGTCAATTGTAAGGAGAATTAGGGTAGGGTACAACACCCTTACTTAGGTCACAGCCTTGATATGATGTAATTGGAGTTTACTTGGGGTGTGGCCCACATCACCTTTAATCTTACAAGAGACAAAAGGAGAGAGAAATGAGCAGAGAGAGGGGGGGGGATCTGCTACCACCAAGAAAGAAGAGCTTGGAGTGGAGTGCATCCTTTGAACCCAGGATCCCTGCACTGAGAACCTCCTAGACTCAGGGGGACACTGATGCCAAAACACATGGAGATTTGCAAAGAATGCTGAGCCCACACATGTTGAAAGGGGACAAGGACCTTCCCCCAGAGCCCAAGAGAGAAAGGCGTCCCCTAGAGGTAGCGCCCTGAATTCAGACTTCTGGCCTCCTAAACGGTGAGAGAATACATTTCTCTTTGTTAAAGTCAACCACTTGTATTTCTGTTAAAGCAGCACTAGATAACTAAGAGAGTAGATGTTCAATAAATGATCATTAAATGAGGAATAGAGAAGGCAGACAATTAAAGTATAGTGATTAAGAATGTGGGCTCTGGAGTCAGATAGACCTTATTTCAAGTCCTAGCTCTTCCACTCACAAGCTCTTTGTCATGGGCAATTTCTTAATTTCTCTAAGTCTCAGTTTTCTCAGCCGTATAATTATGGGGTTATTGTGAGGATTAAATAATTCTCAGTGAATGTTAGCTTTTACCATTGTCGTCGTCATCATCATCATCATCATCATTGTTCTAAAACATGTTTATAGCAGGCTTACAACATGCATTACAGCATATTCTTTCTATGCCTGCTTGACTCCTGCTTTGCATTTCAGTGATAAAATGAATCTTACACTTTCCTTAGCAATAGCTGGGCTGTTTTTAGGCCTAACGAGATGGGAAACTTAGGACTGAGGTCAGCTTCAAACATAGTAGAGGGATTCTGATGGCTTGCTTACAAGCCAATAACATTGTGTTAAAGGTTCACAACAATTTTGACTTTTCTGTAGTGATAGACTTGAGCATTATACTTAAAGTAGTAATTAAAGTTAAAAAAAAAAAAAGAAACTCCTTGAAATTGGTTACAGCCTCAAAAGCTAGCTTTCATTAACTTAGCAAGAACCTCTGCCCAGTGGGTAGTCTTTGGGTTTTCAACACTCATATATCTTATTATACATCTGAAGTCTCTTTGTTAACTCGATGGATTAAAGATTAAAGCTGTCAAATTTGAGTTGTAATTAATGGCAAAAGTATGTGAAAACTAACCTTACATCTGTTTAGAAAGGTATTCTTGTTACCTGATTGATCTCACCTGAAAAACAGATCATACACTAACTAACCTACTGGAAAGTGGATGAAGTTATTCTGTGCAAGTAAAAAAAAAAAAACTATGTAATATAGATCTGGGAAAAATAGTTTTCTTAAATGCTGCATTCTGTATTTCATAAAGATATTTTAAAAGTCAATAAACAGTCAAATTTAAAATAAAATGATAAAATTTAAGTGCATTATGAAATAAAGAGGTATATTTTGGATTATCCATTTCACATTTGGGTATATATTTCTCAAGCCAAAAAGCATCTTTATAGACTTTTAATGAAATATGTATTTATTTAAGCTTATTATGCTCATTTGCCTGTAAAATTCTCAAATGGTTGAAATTGCTAGAAATCTGTCAAATAAGGGAATGGCATGTGAGGAAAATGGAAAATAAAACACATTAGCATTTGTTCTCCCCAAACATCTGTTAATAAATTAGATTTAAGAAAAATTCGATAAAAATGATACAAATGGCTTTTAACTATTATTCATGTTGTTTACTTTATAAAACCAACATTTTTATTGAAATATTCCTAGAAATTAGATTTTACTATGCCATCAGATGATTTTGAAGATTTTACTCCAAATGATGTGGTGGAGAGTACACTGCATTTATGGAAATTCTCAGCCATCATTATGTTTTTTAATCGCTGAAAGATTTTCTGCTTCCTTTTCTCTCTGCCTGCTCACGTTCTTATTTGAAAAATTGCACTTTTCTTTCTCTCATCTCATGTTGTTGTTAGCTGCCATTGAGTCGGCCTTTGATTGGTGGAGACCCCTCGCACAACAGAACAGAACACTGCCCCGTCCTGTGCCGTCTCCATGGTGGCTGGTGTTTCAGACTGTTGTGACCCATAGGGTTTTTACTGGCTGATTTTCAGAAATAGATCGCCAGGCCTTTCTTCCTAGTTTATCTTAGTCTGGAAGCTCTGCCGAAACCTGTTCTGTAACATAGCAACATGCAAGCCTCCACAGACAGAGAGGTAGTAGCTGTTCATGAGGTGTGTTGGCTGGGAATCAAACCTGGCTCTCCCGCACGGAAGGGAGAATTTTACCATTGAACCACCAATGCCCCATTCCCATCTCCATGGAAGACATGAGCTTTGGATTGGGTTAGAATTGAGTATAAATCTTGGTGTTATGTGTTCAAAACCAGGTGACCTTGATTATTCTCAAGGACTCAGTTTCTTCATCTATAAAATGAAGAATTTCTACTAGATGATCTCAGGTGGCTTTTCTAGGTCTATGACTTTGTTTTAGTCAATAGGAATATTTTCATAAACTTTTTGAAAATTAATTGTTGTAGATCAAATCTTTTATTTTCAAGTTCATGAAGAATAGACTATTTAAAGGAATTATCTAGTGTAGCATTTCAGAATCAATAATTTTCTAATTTATGTATTTTAGAAATCTATATTAGCATATATATTTTTTCTATATCCTTTTATTTCTGAAGTAGATTACGAATATTGTTGCAAATCTCCTACTCTGAGTTCTCAGCACAGCAGTTTCTTTCCACCTACTTTTTGTTTTTATAATGGTTATTTCCAGTGCCAGATGAAAAAAAAAAAAGGAAGAAGAAGAAGAAAGAAAATGGAATTGTGGTATAAACTAGCTTTTTATGTAAAGGAAGGTATTAGCCTTTGTAGCAGAAACCTAATTTCAATACCAAGGGAAACGTAGGTACTAATGAGCTAATGTGAAGAAAAATAGAAGTAATCAGAATTTGGGAGGGGCAGGCAATTTCCCCATTATTAGTAATGATGATAACAACAATAAGATTTCCTAGGAACCCCATGCAAGAAAATAACAAACTTTTTATTAGATAAGTTTCTTATGATTTTATTATTGTTGGCATATGCCTGTTTTTACAGCAGGGTTTTTTTTTTTTTTCCTTCCCTATAGGCGATTAGTGATTTGGCCTATTTTAACAGTATAACATGTTTATTAAAACAACCCCCCCCCAAAAAAAAAAGTAAAGAGAAAAAGAAGAAATACTAAGTGTATCCATTATCAGATTTTACATTACATAAAGTTACCAGACCTCAGAAGTATTGTGAAATTGCTATATTCTTAATGCATGGGAAAAAGCATTAATGTACATGTTGTGACAAAAGCATTTA